TTTCCCATGTTCGCAGTTTCAGCAGGTTCAGGCAATTTCTGAAAGACGAATGTGTCCCCAAGAATGAGAACATTAAGGAGTATCAGTTAACATTCGCATTTTTGGAACTGCTGAGACTATTTGGAACTACTTCGTCAAGACGATTGTTCTTTACAGAAATATTCGAAACGAGTATATTTTGATTTTTAACCGATTTTTTATTCGTAGTAAAATAGGAATATTTTTCAGGACGCCTGGAACAGGTTCTCTGGATATGAGACGTAATGGGATTTCCAGTACGTGAACGTTTACGACGAAAGCAGTTATCGATATAGTAGAGTTTCGATTAATCGACATCTGATTATCCGAAATGTTCGATTAGCTGGCAGATTTGTTTTGATTCTTTCTTATCAATTATCACGAATTACATATCATGAAGAAGTCAATACGAGTTAATCGTGACGTGACGTCGTCTTTCGTGAAATCAATGGATCATCAGCGATCTTCGAGTTGAGAAAAATCGCTTCTGTTTACTTTCTCTTTACTATGAATGAAACGAATAGGATTAATTTTCTATATTGGCAGATATTAGGATGTTGTCGCTATAGTTCATCGTTGCTAGTCGATTGATATCTCTTTTGTTATTAACGATGTAAGATTCGATGATTATGTAACAACGTGTTTCGAATTGTTTGTGTACAATTTCGATCGATTCGATTTGATTAGATTAGAAAGACAAATAAGATAAAGCAGACATTGGAAAGTTTGATGAATTTCGATCGCAAGTATCGATTTGAATTTTTATCAATTATGACCTGATTTTTCAGCGAACATAAATACTATTTCTCCTCTTATCGTAAACGAGAAAGTATCTTTATCGGATGAGCTAATATAATGCAGCTTATCAAAGTCTATACTATAAATTACAAATCCCTGTTTTGCATTTTTATTTTGTTTTCAATGCCATTCCCCGCTAAGAAATTATTATCTTATATCAGAAAATCGTTTTTCATCTTATCCTTAAACGTTCTCATCTAGTTTAAGCATTAAACATTTTTCTACCAGAGTAACATTCTTGAGAAAAGGCAACAAACATTCTCTTTTTATTAGAACAGATAGATTTTCTTATTCCGCTTCTTTGCTTTATCGATTACGCGATGATAATAATGGCATGAAATTCAATTTCACGGTAAGAAAAGGTAGAAGAAAATAATTGTTTCGAGTACTTTACGAATGCTTTTTCAAAATTCTCGCATTAATATTATTAATAATTTTCTGAAACAACAATATAAAGCAGTCGTCTCTTTATATCATTGTTAACGAGAATTTGGCAATAATCTGTATTTATTTAGGAACAGATAAAGTAGCGATCTTGAATAGCAGCTGTCCAGTGAACTGATCGATAATGCAGAGTTCCGCGTTAGTTAACGGAAAGGGTTAAACAAAGGGAAGTTAAACGAACATTGGTCGGGAATAACGAAGAAAATACACGGGAACAAATATACAACGTACGACATTTATTCTCTCATTTTCCTTAAATCGATATCCTACGTACGGGTAGATACAGAGGATCCTATAAAGGTACATGAATTTCCATGAATTCTGAAAATTCGAGGAGATATATCAGCGTACCCTTACGACATCCCTTCCATTCCTCTCTGTCGTGTGCGTACAACTGTGTATGCGTGTGTGCGTATCTATACTCCACTTCCGTTTGCACTAGCCCCTTTACGTCGGATTCATATCGCGTCGCATCATTCCGCGCGTTTCAATCTTTCATTCGAACGACGTTACCGCGTTTCCCTTTCTCGCGAGCCTCTCACTTTCGTATTTAAATGAAACATCGCTCGACGCGCGGATACGCAGTCGAATAAGGAGAGTGACGTTACCGGGCGCAACCTACCTTACCGACTCGCCGATATCATTCGAACGACTCGATCTCGGAGCCGATAAAAATTTATCTAATTCGTATCGCTCGACGTATTTTCGCGTCTCTTACATCGCTATCGCGTTCTAACCGGCTCCTTTTTCTTACTCCGAGCGTTCCAAAGATCTCCCTCCGTTGAAACAAAACGCGCGTCGCTAAGAGAACGTTCGACCAACGTGGAACCGTGAGGCGGGATATTTACAGTGCCCCCGACCATTTCCCGTGCAGAGAAACGAACCAACGTCGAGGACAGCCAGCGTCCCTCTCTCGACGCCGATTTCCAGCGAATCGATAAATAATTCGATCGACGGTAAAACCTATTTTCGAATTCGTACAGGTCTCATCCAAATTTCATCCGCGTCCCATAAATCGTACTCCTCGATCTCCTCCAACAGATCGACGTCTCTCTCGAAAGGCCACTCGCGATCCTCTCTCGAGCTGTCTCGGGACCAAGTTCCAGACAAAGGCACGGGTCTTGGTCGAACGTTTCCCTTCCTCTCCTTCTTCGACAGGACGAGTAAAACTAATTGAACGCGTTCTATATACACGTCGACGCACAGTCTCTGGTCCTATGCGGGAATCATCGTCATCGCCACCCAACGTGTTAGGTGCTAATTTCTTTTCTTCCGGTTCCCCAATCGATACACTCGCCGAGCTTACCCTCTACGGTTCAACAGCTCTGCAGCTCCTCGAGCTGCCTCGAGGCTCGTCGGTGCGAGTTGCGACGTTAAACGAAATTCAATATAAATGATATGTAAATCGAAGGCGACACTCTAACGCGGTACTGTCCTCTTTTCTCTGACAAATTTCCTCGAGAAAATCCTGCTGGCCTCGTTTCCTACCGATGCACGCGCGATCTTAAAACGTCAAGACGTACCAATTTCCCCGCTATTCCCGAGTCAACCAGACGATCATTTTCGCCAATTAGGTTAAAGGGTGCCAAGAGACCATGGTGCTCGATCGTCGATTCTCACAGCAACACCCAACGACTTGGTTTATCTTACAAAGAACAACGCGCTCGAATCCTCCCACGTTTCCCATAATACCTCTTCCTCGAGCTGGACGAGCTTCCTAGATTCTTAATGCCACTTGTCAAATATTGTCATGGATTCTTCTTGCTCGCCGCTTGTTCCCTAATTCCAGCATCGCCGAACGAATTGGCGAACGCAGAGATGGCCGGGTTGACACGCTGAAAGTCGCTGGTACACGCTCTCGAGATCGCTTTGATCAATTCGAAATGACGCAATTTGTTTCGATTTTTTACTGTTTTATTCGTTCGCTCGCTTTCCCTTTTCTCTCTGCCGCAATCGTGGCCGTTGCCTTTCGATCTTCCGCTTCTCTAACAGACAAGAGGAACCAACTCGCGATGCGTTAAGGGCACTCGAAGGGTTGAACAGTTTGCTAGAATTCAACGGCGTTAGGCCGTGACCGACAATTTCAGTCCCGTAGAAAAAATATTCGCTCGATTTCCTACTAAACTCTCTGCGCAGCGAAGTTACACAGTTTCCGTGGTTGCGAAAGCGTACAAGCTCTTACGTTAGCCCCTCGACCGGTGCACCGTGAACCGCCGCCATTTATAATTTATCATCGATAATCTCAGACATTCTACCTTTCGCGATGTGTAATCTGCTATAGCAATTAATTAGCCGCGATTACTTCCAGGGCCGATTATCAAACGATTATCAGGCCACTCGATTAAAATATTTTCCACCAATCCAGGCGAAGCATGTTCCCGATAAAATTTTTCCTGCGTTTGCTTCTTTCTCTTTGCTTTCGCGAGATACCAGGCTCGGCTTGGATTGTTCCAAGTCGCGAATCTTTCGAGACGTCGAGGTAATCAGCTTTCCTTTCTTCAGTGGGATCTCGTAGGAATCACTGTCCACGAATTTTCCTTCGATTTTAATCGTTCATCCGAGGTGAACGCAAGGCATTTCTGCAAAATATACAAGGCTAGTCGAGAAACCGAAGATTTACCTCGACATCTCGAGAGACGTGGAACGTACGCTAGTTGCGAGTACTCGGGAGTTACTTTAAATGGTTGTTTTCATCGGTCCACCCGGTATACACGAGTCTCAGCTCGACGACTTTCTTCCCAGCGCGATAGAAGTCCCGTGGAATGCGAAAGGACTTTAATTACTTAAAGCGGATGCAAAGTAAATGCGAGGATTTGATTTAAAATTTTTCCCTCGAATTATTCGAAGCCTAAGAGTCCTTTGTCCCCGGAACGAGCGAGTTTGCGAGCAGGTCCTCGAGCTGCGAACTCCACTTCCGGTCCCGTGGACAGCTATGGAGCTTACGCCGGGGGTCCTCCTCTCTCCGGACTTCCGCCTTGCGTCTTAGGATTCATTCTCTTGCCGGGCTTCGAAGGGTCGAAATAAAAATAAAATTCGAGATGAAGAGCGTTTCGGGGCGAATACCGCTATTGGGAAAATTGCTTCCGGAAATCCAGGCTAGGTAAAAAAAGAAAGGGCGAAAAGGGGAGAGAGAGAGGGAGAAAAGGCCGTCGAGGAGAGCCAGCGAGCGGGGAGTTGAGAAATTCGAGGACCGCCGACGCTGAAATCGACCCTGTCGGTTGATGGCCATCCAGCAAACTGGCAGAAGGGTTTTGAAGTTCGACCTCTTTGCGCGGGAAAATAAGAGTACGGGGAACGAAGATACAGGGAGGAAAAAGGTAACGTTTCCCTTTTCCTTCGGAAGCAACATTTCCCCGAGCCATTGATTCTTTCTACGCGTCCACGCAAGCACGGCAAGCATGGCGCAGGGGTCAACGAGATTCAACGATGCTCCGCGAAACGCGGTGCACAGCGTCGTTTACAGAAATTCTCGAAATAAAGCGAAATAAAGCGAAATAAAGCGGAACGAGGGGTTAGAAAACAGCGAGCAAGTATTACGGATACAGAGTAATAGGAGTTACAGCGTTACAGAATAGAAGGGGACGGTGGAAGAAGCGTAAAAATAAGACTCTGGTAGAGATGTCAAGGCGAGAGAGGGCTCCCCATTCGGCGTGGCGTGGATGAAATTGTAAATCTCAGGATCGTGCTCTGCTCGCGGACTGGTAGGCTACGGTGCACCTTGGCAGGGGGCCAGAGAGTCGTTGGAAATTGCTCGGAGACTTCGCGTAGCCTATTGTCGACTGAACAGACCGGTACCCATCGGGCAAGATCAAGGATCTACGGTGAAGCTTCGATCTATTTCATCGAGATCATCCGCCGATTCGTCTCGATCAGGCCGTTGCCGTTTCCTGTCATCATGGCGCCGCGACGCTGCGCCGTGGTCGTCGTGGAGTTGCTTATCGGGGCCGTGGACGTCGTCTCCGTGGTCGCGCTCGTCGATGCCAGTCTCTTCTGAGGAACGAAAGACGATTGTTACAACACGGTTCGTCTTACTTCGTTAAATTTAATTGGATCTGGCGAGATGCGTGACGGGGCAGGTGGAGAGGTAGTTCGAGAGGCAAGGAATTTACATTTTGGGTCGGTAGGGGTAGCGTTAGGCTAGCTTCTGCACATCGAGGAGCTGGCTAGTCTACTATCCCATCTAGGGGTTAGTTAGGGGTTAGCCCGATCTCTTTCGATCCACGCTGAAGATTACATCGGATGGGATAGACCTATTGCTTTGGGACCGATCAGACGAGCCATCTTCTCGTTCCTACGTGATATTCAGACTTCTTGGCTAGGTAGGCTGACATAGTACCGGAATAAGCAAGGTCTGGATTCGTTTTGACTCGTACTACATAGATAACACAGACACTATGTGCATTCTAGCGCGTTATCGCCCTGCTGTATTCAGTTTCGATTCATCTGTTCACTTTCTAGGATCCAAGATGGATTTGTTGGACCATCCTCAATGAGATCTCTACTGCTGTCAACTATCTTCTTTATTTATGCAGGGATAGTAGGTTTGAGAGTGAATGCAGAGCAATTTATTTAATTGGTCACGGGCAATAACCGTTTGAGTTCCAGAGGCTTTCAACCCTTTGCACTCGAGAGGCGCCTATCAGTCGTCATTTAATCAGATTCTAAAGATGAATGTTAATTGATATCTCAAATTTACAATTATCCAACGATTTCTTATTTACCGTTTTAAAAACATCGTCGACTTTATGGCAGAAAGTCTACGAATTACTATTTTTCTCTAACGAAAAAATCGCCGAGAGCAAAGGGTTAATAGAACACGGTGGAAAGATCCCGAACAGCGCGATAACGCTTGTATTAATCGAGTGCGAAGAAGTCCAAACGGTGCGATAGCGCTGGTTTAATTTTATGTCGAAAAATCCCAATCGGGGATAACCAACTACCAACACAACTATAGATTTACACGTACGATTGGTATTCGTCATTCCCAGTCAGTACCACGTCAGTACCACGTCAGTACCACGTCAGTACCACGTCAGTACCACGTCAGTACCACGTCAGTACCACGTCAGTACCACGTCAGTACCACGTCAGTACCACGTCAGTACCACGTCAGTACCACGTCAGTACCACGTCAGTACCACGTCAGTACCACGTCAGTACCACGTCAGTACCACGTCAGTACCACGTCAGTACCACGTCAGTACCACGTCAGTACCACGTCAGTACCACGTCAGTACCACGTCAGTACCACGTCAGTACCACGTCAGTACCACGTCAGTACCACGTCAGTACCACGTCAGTACCACGTCAGTACCACGTCAGTACCACGTCAGTACCACGTCAGTACCACGTCAGTACCACGTCAGTACCACGTCAGTACCACGTCAGTACCACGTCAGTACCACGCGAATATCGTGACGTGAAAGAGGCCTAAGGGTACTTGGACGGTATCTAAGGAGATCCGAGCTCACTGACCACGCGGAAGGTAACCATATACCCGAAGGTAATCGATCGGAGTAATCGTCGGTCTGTTCCTGCCTGGCAGTAGACAGACCCCGTCGATTGTGGACTCGGGATACCTGGCCGAGAGCGGAGCAGCGCGGAGCTTTATGTTCGGCACGCCTGAGTCGCGGTGAACTTTCGCAATCAGACGAGAGATCACGTAAGATCCGCGCCGGAAGGAAGGCATCGCTCACTTCCGGTCGCCGGGTCAGCCGAGTCCAGGCACGTCCTCGTCAACGGATCCCGGAAATTGCGGCACGTAAAAGCGTCGCGATGCCACGGGATTACTTCCAATTCGAGTGTCTTTCGCCTCTTAAACAGCACCGTCCGATCACGATCCCCGTTTTATCGTTGCTCCGTTCGTTAAAAAGCCAGGAAAGGAACGATCGCCGTCCGATTCGCTTAAATTTCACCGGCCATTCATCTCGCTGTTGTAATTGCGCTTCCGTGGCTTCGATCCTCGCCACTTGTCGCGAAGTTCGCCTTCGAGGACCCTCGCCCAAGCGCGCGGAGAGTTTCGACTTTACGCTTTTCGACGTAGTTTTATTCGTTTTGCCGGAAATAAATTTCGACGGGGATCGTTTGTTCCGCGACCAGGGACGTGGTTTATCGGGTTCACCGGTTCCGCGAGAGCGTCCCGTTCCGTTCCGTGGTAGATGGCGCGCGTATAGGTGGCACGTCCCGAACGATAAAAACGATAAACACCGGGTTCATCGGTTACACGAAAGCGTCCCGTTCCATTCCGTGGTAGATGGCGCGCGTATAGATGGCACGTCCCGAACGATAGAAATGATAAACACCGGGTTCACCGGTTCCGCGAGAGCGTCCCGTTCAGTGGTAGATGGCGCGCGTGTAGGTGGAACGTTTCAAGCGATAAACACCGGATTCATCGGTTCCGTGAAAGCGTCCCGTTCCGTTCCGTGATAGATGGCGCGCGTATAGGTGGCACGTCCCGAACGATACAAACGATAAACACCAAGTTCACCAGTTACATGAAAGCGTCCCGGTCCATTTTGTGGTAGATGGCGCGCGTGTAGGAGGAACGTTTCGAGCAATAAATACCGGATTCACCGGATCCGCGAGAGCGTCCCGTTCTGTTCCGTGATAGATGGCGCGCGTATAGGTGGCACGTCCCGAACGATAAAAACGATAAACACCGGGTTCACCGGTTCCACGAAAGCGTCCCGTTCCATTTCGTGGTAGATGGCGCGCGTGTAGGTTGCACGTCCCGAACGATAAACACCAGGTTCATCGGTTCCGCGAGAGCGTCCCGTTCCGTAGTAGATGGCGCGTGTGTAGGTAACACGTCACGAACGATAAACACCGGATTCCCCGGTTCCACGAAAGCGTCTCGTTCCATTCCGTGGTAGATGGCGCGCGTGTAGGTTGCACGTGTCGGGCGATAAAAGCGGCATCGTCGAGCGCGAAAGTTTATCAGGTCGAGGGTCTAAACGGGGGATAGAGAAAAGGTCTGGAAAGATCTATAGTCTGTTCGGAATGGCCTCGATTGGCCGGGACGGATAAAAAAATGGGTCGTTCCATTTCGCGGTGAGAAAGGAATCGATCGCGCGGATTCGATTAGCCGACTCGCCGACGGTTCCCGTCAGCTCGATCCGCGGCTACCTAATCGTACACGCGACGCGAGCTATACCGAGGTATCATTTGCTCGTTATTTCGTCCCGTGGCACTGCTAATTCCCGACGGAATTACGAAGGCGCGGCCATCGAGCAGCAGGCCAGGCAGAGTGGCGCGTGAAATTTAATAAAACGCAAATCGAGCTCACCTCGGCCTCGTTCTCTTTGTAGGACCAGAAGTCAATTTGCCTGAGTGCCTCCAGCTGGTTCTCCAGCGGGTCGCTGCTATTGCCTTTCGTCGAACCGCCGCGAAGCACGGGATCCTTCTTCCAGGCGTAGATCGGTCGCTCCAGGCCCACTTGCAGCTGATTACCCGTTCGCTCCTGCTCGTCCCCGTGGCCATTTTCGTTTCTTGTGTCGTCTTCGTTCTTCCTCCAGTCGTTTCCGGTGTACTTGGGCGAGGAGACCGCGGACACCGCGACGAACGCGTTTTTTGACTTGGACGAGGCGGCGTCTGCGGTGGTTCCTGGTTTAGAGATCGGCATCGCGGTTACCCTGTGATACGCGAACTGCTTCCACTTGGTGGGCCACGTACCGGTCGAGCTCGTTTTCCCGTAGCTCCACTCGTCGTTCATCTTCTGCTGCCACGGAGACAGCTCGTTACCCTTCGAGTTCCAGCCGTTCTCGCTCGACTTCCTGGCCCAGGTGTCCCCTGGGTCTTCCTCTTTCATCTTCCCGGACCAGGGGTCTCCGTTGAACTTGGACACGTCGTCGTTCGTCTTGGACGTCCAGGATTCGTTTGACTTCGTCGACCAGGAGCCGCTCCTCGGCGCCCAGGAGCTCTTGTCCTCGAGCTTCGACATCCAAGAGCTGGACTCAGGCTTCGTCAGCCAGTCCCCTTTCATCTTCCACGAGTCCGAGTTGCCTTGCTTCGACGACCAACTGTCCGGGTCTTTCGTCTTCGCGAACCAAGAGCTCGGTTTGCCCGATTTCTCTGACCAGAGTTCTGGGACGCTCGACTTCTCTGGCCACAGAGTTATGCTGGACTGATCCATCCAGGAATCGTTGGCTTTCTCGGGCCAAGATCCCTTGCTCGCCCATTTCGCGTCGGTGTTTGATCTACCGAGTGGCTTGGACCATCTTCGAGAGGTATTCTCGTCGGAGGGTTCCATCGGTTTCATCTGGTAAGGCTTCCAGGTAGATTGGTCGGCTGCCATCACCCAGGCGCCCACGGATTGGATCTTGGGCAAGGCGGCTTCGTCGGGCCACGGGCTTTTCTCCTCGTACTTTCTCCTCCAAGCACCGGCATCGTCACCCTGCATATCTTCGCTCTTCGTCCATTCCTTAGAATCCTTCGAGTCCGACAGCATCGCCCAGGATTTCATCGATTCACCAGACCTCGCCTTGTAGTCGCTGAAATTGCTCCTATCGTCGTTGGGTTTGTACTTGGGACCATCGGTGCGAGCCACTTTCTCCTCCTTCGCGAACTCCTTGCTCGAGAACAGCCTGTTCTGCTTCTCGTCCTTCGGCTTCCTCTCGCCGTTCGACTTCTCAGCGTCTTCTTTCACCCAGGCGCCACTAGTCTGCTGGTCCAGGCCTAACTTCTTCACCAAGTCGGCGTTGGGGTTGTACGACTTCCCATTCTCGTCTTTTGGCCACGGCTTAGCGCCGGGTAGCTTGTGCGGCCAAGTAGCCGGGTCGGAGGTCAGACTGTTCCACGTTTTCATCGTGATTTGCGGCAGCACGACCTTCTCCTTGTTCTCCTCCTTCAGCGCTGATCTACTCGACTCTGACCGGTTCTTGCTCTTCTCCCAGACACCGTTCTGATCACGATCGTACTGCTTCCCCGGTCTCTCATCCTGCTGCCACGGCAGAGGCACCTTCAGAGGCTTCTCCACCGGCCAGCTGGACCTGTCCCTGTTCCAGGAATTCTGCACTCGCTGTTGCTGCCACATCTTCTCTGCCTCCGCTTCCTGTTCCGCCTCCTCCTCGTTCTCCAAAGCGGACCAGTAGCTCTTATTAACTGGCAAGAAGCTCCCCCGCTGAGGCCAGTACTTGGTGTCGCTCGCGGGCTGTCTTCTAGGCAACATTGGACGTTCCTCCGTCCTCCAGGATGGATTGTACCCGTAGGACAGATCTGGCCAGCTCTTGCTTAACGCGAAGTCTCGAGGATGCGATTGGTGCTCCTGATCTCGTCGGAAGGCCGCATCGTCCAGGTCGCCTTGATCCTCTTCCTCGAGTCTTCGCAGGTACTCGCGGGTGGTCGGTGGCAGTTGGCTGTATCGCGATCGGTGATACGACTCGGGTATATCGTAGTCCGGCACGCGTTCCAGGTCTGAAAGGTGCAGATGCTCGAGCACTTTGGAAATAGGCGCTTAAAAGGGATCCGGAAGTTTTTGTTAAAGAGCAAAGTCGAGCTCGGGGTAGGACTCGCTGAGAAGTTTGCGTGCTGTCGGAGTGAGCTTCGCGGATACACAGCGACGCAGAGGCAACGCGACTCGGAGTTTCGACTTGCTTCGTAAAGTGACTTTACTCGATCGCGATTTTCCTCTAGAATTCCTAACCTCGCGGCCACGTTGCCTCTGCATTCTCCAAGAAATCCGCGCACTCGAACTTACCTGTAGGCCTGTCGTACACGCTCGCGAACTCCCTGGGCTGGACGTGACCAGGCTGACGAGCCGCAATCTTGCCAAACCGCATCAGCCTTTGATTTCCGAGTTCGCCAACTTGGTCCGACAGTATCGGTTTCCTATCGGGTGAGTAGGTCTTGGGGTTGCTCCTAGACTTGTTCTGTTCGATCAGCTCTCTGGTGGCAGCCAGGCTCCTGGCGCTCTGTTGAGCCGAGAATCGCGGACTGACGGCTTTCTCGGCCTGGAGATCCTGTTGCCAGGTCGGTGAGTTGAAGAGTCTCTCGGCTACCAGACGCCACTGAACAGGCGTCGTTTGCCAGGGTGTTTCCGTGGTGGTGAGCAACGAGGGTGTCGCTGGCACTGACATCAAGGTGGTCGTGGAAAATCTGTGACTCGACTTCTTCTTCTTCTTCAGCTTCTTCCTCGACTGCCTCGACTCGCTCGCGGACTGCGACGTGCTGGTGAACAGGCTCGGCGTGGACTCGTAGCTGCGTTTCGCCGGGTCCAATTCGACCCTGGACCCCTTTGGATCGTCTCCCAAGTTCGCTGCGGGAAGAATAGCGACAGGGGCATAACTCGAGATGCATCGGAGACATCGAACGTTCGAAAATCGGCGCGAAAACGGGGAATTTAGGAGACAGGCGCGAAATTAGAGCGATCGTCGCACGGGGAAGTACCGCGCGGTGGATTACCGACCGAGTCGAGTACCAGCGAGCGTTTTCCATCGGTAAAGCAGAGCAGCGTCGATTTATTTCTCATAAAAAGCACGTCGCGATACGTCCACTCGAAGCGCGTTCCCCGCGGGCGGCGCTCATCCATCAGCGCAAGCAAATGGCCATTATTAAAGCGGCATTGTTCCTGTAATGGAGATTAAGATGGTTTCGCGTGCAAAGCGCTTTACCTACTGCTAGCCCCGGCCCCGATGCACGGACTAACTTGTTCCTGGATTATTCACTGTCCCCGTATACATTACCCCACCGTGAGACCGAGCGTTAGTTACGAAATTAAGAGACGGATTTCGCACACAGCTTCGGGAAGGAACCGTCGCACCGTTTGAATTTAATCCTCTTTTAAATTCCTATACGCTTTCTTTCTCTCCCTACCGCACTTTCTGCTCCTCGCTGAGCTGACTTTTTGCAATTTGCGAACGCAGAGGTAACGGGAACATAACAGTTCGCGTCGACGAATTTGTAACTCGGAACTAGGCTAACTTCTAGGAGTAATTTTACTACTGCAAATTGCGAAAATGCATCTGTGAACAACGCTGAAATTACTCGTGCACGGGACCAGTTGTGAGTTACCTTTTTATTGTTCCAGTGGACAGGGTTAGTTTCAATTGATAAGAATATTCCGGAAATTCGAAGATTGCTGAGATACTTTCTTTCATCGTAGTTCATTTAACCCTTTGCACTCGACGACTTTTTCGTTACAGAAAAATAGTAATTCGAAGACTTTCTGTCACAGAGTCGACGATATTTTTAAAATGGTAAATGAGAAATTATATGCAAATTAAGACGTAGAATTATTTTTCTTCGACATTCCACATATCGTTAGGTAATTTTAAATTTGATTTATTAATTAACGTCGATCTTTTGAATCTGAAGAAATGGTGACTGATGGTTACCTCTCGAGTGCAAAGGGTTAATTTCCTTGTTAATCCTCTATGGGCTCGTATAACTTCCGAGTTACATGCATACTGCATTCGACGTTATCGTCTTGATTACTCCAGTTTGAGATTTTTCTTTCGGTATATTTATAATTATTTTTACAATACCTCTCGTGGGACCATTTTCAAAAATTCTAATTCTTTTTCATTTAGTGGTTATTCGATCATGATAGGTTAGGTCCTCTATAGCCTCTTATGACCTTTTTCCCACAAGATGGCGTGGAAAATTATCTTGTCTATCTATTGCACATTATCTTGGCACAATAGTACAAACGTTGTTAATTCAAACTTTCAATATGATTTCGTTATAATAAAATTGTCAAAACTGCTGAATTTATTGGTTGATATTTGTTGATTTTATGGTACATACTATTCTTATAGTCAAGAAAAATAAATATTCGGTCCATAGAGGGTTAATATCGTGATGATTTTAGGGGATTTTGAATTCGAGTATGAGAGATACAGCAGTTTAGGTTAGGAATATTTTGAGGAGTAACGTTTTGCGGATTAATTGTACGATAGGGATGTGTGGCATCCCGAAAATGTCGGAACACGAGAGGATTGGAATTTTTTAGGATCGGGACGGGATTCCGGAAATATTCGAGATTCCTGATAATATTTGGGATTCCACGGAATTTTGTGAAATAACGTTTTAAATGCTAATTATATTTTCAGAGTGAACGAAATTTAATAAAAGGAATACGGATACGACGAGGGTTCTTCAAATTTTTGGGGATCTCGTAGATTTCGGGATCCGGACACGCTAGGGGATATCATAAATCTCAGGGTTCCAGATATTTCGGGACGCCAGATATTTTAAGGAATTGCGGGGATTTGGAGGTCCCAAATAATTTTAGGAATCTCATAAATTTCGGGATCTCGCACATTTTTAGTATCTCGAATATTTTCGGGAATTTGATAAATTTTGAGATCCTGGGCTTTTTGGAATACTTTTTAGATTTTGAATGGCTAGATATTTTTGGGAATTTCGTAGAGTTTGGGATCCCAGATATTCTTGGGAATTTCGGATATTTTCAGGAATCCCCTAGATTTTGGTATTCAAGATATTTTTGGGAACTTTGTAGATTTTGGAACCTTGGATCTTTTGGAAGACCTCGTAGATTTCGGAACGCCAAATATTTTCTGGAATTTCGTAGAGTTTGGGATTCCAAATATTTAGGACACTTTCGAATATTTTCAGGAATCTTCTAGATTTCGTTATTCCAAATATTTTCGGGAACTTCGTAGGTTTTGGAATCCTTGATCTGTTCGAAATCCTCATAGAATTTAGTATTCCAGATATTTTGCAGAAGTTTGGATATTTTTAGGAATCTCCTAGATTTTGGTATTCCAAATATTTTCAGCAACTTCGTAGGTTTTGGGATCCTAAATCTTTTGGAAAACCTCGCAAAGTTTGGGATTCCAGATATGTAGTAGAATTTCGGATATTTTTAAAAATCTCTTAGATCTCGGTATTCCAGAAATTTTCGGAAATTTCGTAGATTTTGAAATTCCGGCCCTCTTAGAAAACCTCGTAGATTTCGGTATTCCAGCTATTTTCGGGAACTTCATAGATTCCAGTATCCTCGATACCTTCCATAAAACCTCGTAAATGCCAGACTCGTCGATATTTCCAGGAATCCCAAATATTCTCCAGATCCAAAGACATTTCAAAACAACTCGTATACCTTCGTCACTCGAAGGCTTCGAAGACTATCCCCGAAACCTTCGAAGTCCCATCCCAACCCCCTACACAAATTTCCATTCCCATAACCCTAAAACCCGGCGACGATTTTCGAAAAATTCCACATCCGGAACTCCTTGGAATTCCTTCAACTATCTCGCAGCGTTCCTGAAAACCGGCTTTCCCACGAATCGCAGGCAATTCGCACGATTCGATTGCGACCGCGTGCGCGTTCGTTGCCTTTGTTTCCGGTTAATCTCGTCTGAGCAACGCGAAATGGCAAGAGTACATGGCGTGAAACGGGTTAACGTATTGTTCGCGTGCCAGGAAGTAATCGAATGAGAGAGAGAGAGAGAGAGAGAGAGAGACTCGTCCATGGTGAAAAAGAGCGGAGAAACAGCGAGGGGAAAATCGGAACGGAGAGGATTTCCCGCGGGCGAATTACATTGATTTCCGCGTTTATACGGATCGACTAATTGTCAGGAGGCAATTACACCGGGCAATAATGCAGACGCTATCCGTCTAATCGACCTATTGTGAGGCTTTATTGGATTCCCGCTCGACTCGAGCGCGATTAGCAGCGCGGCTCTTCTCTTTCACCACTGATTTTTCCTCTTTTAACCCCTTGACTACGGCAGACCTTGATACGTAGTGGTCATATCATACGGCAGGAATTGAGTTACGATGTGCACCATTTTTGTGAAAACAAGCACACTCCGTGACCCTCCGTGTCAGAAAGCCAAACTACGCCGAGCAACTATAAACGCTCTTGCTCTTCGTGTCACAAACGCAAATTTCCAAGCACCTATAGACACCCTTCGTGTCACAAACGCAAAAGCAAAATTTCTAAGCGCCTATGGACGCCCTCTGTGTCACAAACGCAAAATTTCTAGGCACCTATAGGCGCCCTTCGTGTCACAAACGCAAAATTTCTAAGCGTCTATAGGTGCTCTCCGTGTCACAAACGCAAAATTTTGAAGCACCTATAGACACTCTTCGTATCACAAACGCAAAATTTCTAAGCACCTATGGCCTCCTTCCGTGTCACAAACGCAAAAGCAATATTTCTAAGTACCTATAGACACCCTTCGTGTCACAAACGCAAAATTTTTAAGCGCCTATGGCTACCCTCCGTGTCATAAACGCAAAAGCAAAATTTCTAAGCGTCTATGGCCATCCTCCGTGTCACAAACGCAAAAGCAAAATTTCTAAGCGTCTATGGCCGTCCTCCGTGTCACAAACTCAAAAGCAAAATTTCTAAACGCCTGTGGGCGCCCTCCGTGTCATAAACGCAAAATTTCTAAGCACCTATAGGCACCCTTCGTGTCACAAACGCAAAATTTTGAAGCACCTATGGGCGCCCTTTGTGTCACAAACGCAAAATTTGGAAGCACCTATAGGCGCCCTCCGTGTTACAAACGAAAAATTTCTCAGCGCGTATGGCCACCCTCCGTGTCACAAACGCAAAAGCAAAATTTCTAAGCGCCTATGGGCGCCCTCCGTATCACAAACACAAAATTTCTAAGCGCCTATGATCGTCCGCCTTGTCACAAACGCAAAAGCAAAATTTCTAAGCGTCTATGGCCGTCCTCCGTGTCACAAACGCAAAATTTCTAAGCACCTATAGTCGCCCTTCGTGTCACAAACGCAAAATTTTGAAGTACCCTGTCGGCGCCCTTCGTGTCACAAACGCAAAATTTGGAAGCATCCATAGGCGCCCCCCGTGTTACAAACGAAAAATTTCTCAGCGCTTATAGGCGCCCTTCGTGTCACAAACGCATAGTTTCCAACCAACTATGGGCGCCCTTCGTGTCACAAACACAAAATTTCGAAGCGCCTATGGCCACCCTCCGTGTCACAAACGCAAAAGCAAAATTTCTAAGTGCCTATGATCGTCCGCCGTGTCACAAACGCAAAAGCAAAATATCTAAGCGCCTATGGACGCCCTTTGTGTCACAAATGCATAGTTTCTAAGCGCCTATAGGCACCCTCCGTGTCACAAACGCAAAAGCAAAATTTCTAAGCACTTATAGGCGTTCTTCGTGTCACAAACGCAAAATTTCTCAGCGCCTATAGACGCTCGCAGTAGTCAAGGAGTTAATAGCTCAGCCGGACTCTGCGACCAGCTGCAACTGCTTCCACTCGAATCTATTTACCCGCGCATCCGCGACCGTAGCAGTCCTCTACCCGAAATGAAATACCACTGAAACGTAATATCTGAAGCGGGATGGGTCGGGATAGATCTATCATCTTATAGGAATTCCCGATCCGCCAAATGAAATGTTCTTCATGCAAATTTTTCACCGTCCCCCCAGTGCCGCATCGGCTGCATTAATTCATCGTAATCGATACCGGCTATGTAAATATGTCTGCCTTTGTCGAGCTCGCGAGGAAAGCCGCGTCTCCAAAGAAATATTCGCTAATGACGATACTTTACGACGCGATGTAAATACAATATCGCATTAACGAGGTAACGAGGGTTGGTATCTAACTTTCGAGAGTAAGATGCAGCATGATTTACGACGGTACACGTATTTATTAAACATCGAAGTGGTGATTAGTGCGAAACGCGCTCCTCCAATTTGTAAATTCGTATTTCCGTATTATCAATTTCCCTGCGACTATTTGCCTCGTTAATTAACGTCACGTCAATTATGTAATTCGTACTCACCCTGTGGAAGGATATTTTAATACACGCATCTTTTATACGGATTTTAATGCGATGAATGCAGTCGCGTTGCGGAAACTGTGTCCGAGCACAGAGAGAGAGAGAGAAAGAGGGAGATGTCAATCGGGAAAATTGTGTAAAACGTTTCGCAGTAAGGTATAAACGATCGCTTTAACGTCCATGGAGCAAATTTATCTCTGGATTTTACACTATCGGTGTCATTGATTCGACAAGTTGCAGCGTCTCGAGCTGGCCGAGGACTGACTGCTAAGTGCTGCCAAAACGTGGAATCGTTTCGTGCATCGGAGTCCATATCACGTAGGCCATTTTGTTTTCAAACGCTTTTCGCGTTTCTCTCGGTTTAATCTCTCCTTTTAGAGCTGCTTCGAATCACTAGACTAGGGAATAGGGAATTCTGATGATGCATCTCATCAGATGCAGGAAGCTTGACTTCTGTCAGCTTGCTAAATGCTTGAACCATTTTGGGCCTCTGCCATTAGGGTAAGTTCCGTTTGAAAGATTTTTTGAAACCAATTATAGGTTAGGAAATAATCAAGTACGAAAGTTCCATTGGGACACCCTGTATGTATAAAACGAGGCAACTAAAATAGGCTATCTGAACACCATGCGTGCTTGTTATAATAGAAGGAAGCTTCTGTCAGGTGCAATTAAAAGGTGTTTCAAACAAAAATTTGTTAGCGTTTGTTGGGACACAGTCTCATATTACTAGATCTCAAAAGATCCTGTTTACGTAAAAAATTCAAAGTGACTTTGACTTTTTTCAGAGACGCTATATGTTTTTGATGTCACAGGATTGTTATTGACATGGAGAAAAATTTAACAGTGTATTATACTATGATCTTGAATAAAATCGAACGTTAAAAAATTTTTGTGTGAAACGTTTTTCAATTGCTCTACCAAAAATGCCTGAAAAATGGCGACATAACTTAACGCAGACATTATGTGTATATATATAGGGTGTTCCAAAATGAGATGTCCCTAACGCAAGAAGTAATTTTGACAGAAAACACAGGTTATTAATTAAAAATTGTAAATATTGCTCAACAATGAAGACATATTATTTCTTCACGAAGAGCTCCATTTTTAACACTAGATTCATGGAACTCGTCAATTTGACAGAAGGGTTGCTCCAATTATACGATGGTAACAGATTTAGTTAACTTATATTAAGACTGTCAATATAATATATAATTGCTTTTAAATTAAACCAATCGTAAAAAAAGAAAGGCACGTGGTTTCCTTTACCTGTCAATTTGACAGGTGTCCTTAGAAATAGGTATAGAGATAGCATCCGTAAATCTAGTATTAATATCCCTGATCTGTCAGCTGTCACGCTGTCATTTCTTCTTCGTTGACAACACTTTGCGCGCGAATGACGCAAAATTCAAATCTTGCGTGAATTTTGAGACAACCTTTATATCAAATAACTGACAACGTGTATTTATTTAATATCAAACACGTTCTAGCAGCTTCACTCGAGACATCCTACTTGATATCATCTGACGTGGTTCCCTCTAACAGGAAGAGTTATCCTTTCCTCCAATGGATTTGTTGAAAACGGAATATCTGACCGGATAATCTAAACTGACCCTTAGACAATTAACCGAGCTGCCTCATCAAGGTCGCAACAGGTTTCTTCTTCGCGAGACCACCATCACGTAGCAAAGTCTCGAGACGCAACTTCGTCCCGAAACTTGCCCGATCATCCTCCCCTGTCGTCCGACAGGCAAACAACCCATGGATGAATCGCGAACCTTTGCCACGAGGATCGTCCAATTGGCTAACAAAGGCGGGAATAATTATTCGCCGAAATACCAATTGCGAACTATCCCGCCGTGAAATTCCACCTGCCAGATCCTCCTACCCCTTAGATCCCAGACAGAGGAACACCCAAAGCGTTACTTACCCTGCAGTTCCTGCTCGCGGTCCCAGCGGCCCGGGTTCTCGGCTACCTTCGCCAGAAGCTGCAGCAACTTCTCCAACAGAGCGTTTTCCCGAGCCTACACAACGATACCGTGATGATTAATTATGCTATTCGCTGCTGAGACAGAGAAGAAAGGGAGGACGAGTGAGAATTAACCCTTTCGGTACTACTGCTGCCCATTGGCGCCGGCTATGAAACGTTTGTGGGGGTCCCCTAACCCTACAGTCATTAGAAGTCAGCTGGTTACAGGTATCCTCGTTGGCGGCGTAGCTAGAAGAGAGACGAAAGGAAATGGAAGGGATGCGTTTTGTTCCGGGCCAGCTAGCGAATCCCAGTGTCTAAAGGCAGGGCCTGCTAGAGGGTAGCCTAGTCTGTCTTACTGACGAGTCCGTTAGCAGGGCTCGGGACGAAACGCATCCCTTTCCTTTTCCTTTCGTCTCTTTTCTAGCTACGCCGCCAACGAGGATACCTGCGACCAGCCGATTTCCAAATGTGGTGGGGGGAAGACCCCCACAAACGTTTCATAGGTGGCGCCAATGGGCGGCAGTAGTACCGAAAGGGTTAATTCACTCGCAGACCCTGCCTTAGACACTGGGATATTATTGGAAGGTCGGGAAGTTATATATATATAGGAATTAGAGGTTTTCCGAGGACTTGCGGGAAAGTCCTCGAAGTCGGAATCCATCTTGTGGCGAGGGCGAGAATAATGGTCGCTACACGTTCTCTGGGTACTACCGCCGTCTATTGGCGGCATCTACGAAACGTCACCGATGACTGTCGCGGTCCGAATGAAAAATTTGGTGTCAAACACGCTCGAGATTTCTACGAATACCGCAAAATACGTTTTCGCGGCTTACGCTGTCGTAAAGTGCAGCCATTTTTGTGGAAAACTTCCTCGTACCACGAATCCATAACCGCCGCCAGCTCCTCCGTACCGAAAGGGTTAATTCGCGACTACTAACTCAGTCCCGCCATCTACCGGAGGAAGCGCGGAAGAAAAGCCGGCAGGAAAGTTTGAATATCTATGGTGAAATTTTGGACAATAGAAGGAGTGGAATTTCGAATACTGGTCTCGTGGACCTTTTTGGCCCGACATTTTGCTATTTCAATATTTAACACGCATTGCAACGTGTAATTTTGTGCAATATGTACGTAGAGGCGACTTCGTTTGAGGATTTTCAGGTGAATCGGGGGTAAAAGCCGAGATAAAAAGCGGGGTTTAGAACCTGAAAGATTTATAATGTTCATTGAGGGGAATGAAAAATGTAAGTGTAATCAACGCGGGTGCTAAAACCAATCTTCCCAGCGTAAAATTGGCTTCTGTTGTTTATGAATATTGGATATCGCGAGTGGAACTAACCCGAGTCTAACTCACGCTACATTTTGGCTATTTTCCTCCGGAAAAGTTGCAGTTTGCGCCAAGTTTTATAACGTTTGCATACGTATAGATACATTATGAACGGTGCATCGCATTTCCGCGTGCATATTATAAAACAATACCGAAATGGAGTGTATTTAGGAGTTAAAATTTCTAGCATTAACACCAGAATCACGACCCATTGCGTCCAGCTAAATGCATTGAACATAAACGAAAGTAATTGATAGCAATTGGTACAACGAAAATTAACCCTTTACACTCGAGAGGTGACCCTCAGTCACCATTTATATTTTAGTATCGAAATCAAATAATTCTACAATTCTATTATTATAAAATTCTTTATTCACTGCTCAAAAAAGTATCGTCAATTTTTTAATAGAGAATCTTCGATTTTCTACTCTTCTCTAGCCAAAAAATCGTCGAGTGCAGAGGGTTAATACATATATAAGCGTGTTCGGACTGAACGGAAGTCACCATCGATTTAATTTAATTAGGAAAATAAAATATTCGAGAGCGTTCATTTTGTTCGCTCCGATAACTCGTACGCCGAAGATTCCGAATTATGGTACTTTTAATACCGAATTTATTAATACTTTATCCGTGCAATTACCGAAAATGTGCGGCTTTTAACGAAATTAACATCGAGTTCTATCCGGATAGAGACACCATTACGTACACCTATTTATCTTCATCATACCACTCGAATTATGGCCATCCGTGTGCAGCATATTTAGCCACCCATCGCAGGTCGATACTCGTGTCGTTGAAAAATTCGAAGACGGTGAAATTTCACCTTACTTTTCATCCTTATCTCCAATTTTCCTTGATATTTCGTTCATTTTTCGTTAATTTCTCGTCGATTCGCGCGATTTTTCTGGTGCCTAGGTCTGTTAACGGAAGTCGAGGCCGGTGAATCCGCGCAGACAAAATGGAGGCCGCGGACGAGGTGGTTGAACGATGCAGTTTCGAAGCGGCGACTCGGCCGAGAGAGAATTTTTCTCCGCTCCGCGTAGCAGCGGGTTTTCCCCTCTCGCTTTTCCACTCGAACGTGTTTTGCAAAATATGCACGCACGCCGGAAATTCCCGCTGCTCGACGATCATTAACGACTCGACGGAGCCGCGAGCGCGGCTGCACGCCACGCTGCTCTCTCCATTCCAATCTCTTGCCTCTCCTGGACCCGATCCGATATGAAATCGCGACTGGAGATTCGGCAACTGGTCGAGCATCGTTTCGTTTCAGAAATTCCTGCCTCCTTCACGCAGCTCATACCGAGTTTCGACTAAGTTCGGTGTTGAGTGTAAAATCTTCGATCATTTCGAGGGAGTTAAAGGAGTTGGAAGATTTCTGCAGCTTGGACAACTTCAGGAATTGGTTCCGAATTTTTGGCAATTTGATAATGTCTGAGAATTTAAGTCAATAATTGCGACATCTCTTTTATATGTTATTACTAATGTGATCCTTTTTTGTCCTCGTCATTTGTGTATCATCGCCTCAGTCCTCAGTCCTTGTAGAGCCGTTAGAATGTAAACACGTGCACGTGAAAACCATTGTCCTATTATATAAAGTGTAGTAAGAATAAAATATATTTGTATTACAAAAACCACGTTCTACTGCTAAACAAATTTAATTCTGCAACTACTAATAGATAAAGAGTGACAGATCATAAACGAGATTCTGAATAAAAGATGTAGATATAACGTGATTATCCTTTGCAGTTCGAGGAGCATCTTCAAAGGTGCTTGCAATGGTCTTCCTGGTATCGTTGCTTAGATATTTAGAAAATTCCTCTTTCACGCAGTACTTCTCCCTCAGTTTTGTTTAAGTCAGGTGTTTAGAATAAAATCTTCAATTATTTTGGTGAGAGTTGCAACTATTAAGAGTGACAGAGGACGTCTTCTGCAGCTTGGACAACTCCAGGAATTGGTTCCGAATTTTTGGCAATTTGATAATGTCTGAGAATTTAAGTCAATAATTGCGACATCTCTGTTATATGTTATTACTAATGTGATCCTTTTTTGTCCTCGTCATTTGTGTATCATCGCCTCAGTCCTCAGTCCTTGTAGAGCCGTTAGAATGTAAACACGTGCACGTGAAAACCATTGTCCTATTATATAAAGTGTAGTAAGAATAAAATATATTTGTATTACAAAAACCACGTTCTACTGCTAAACAAATTTAATTCTGCAACTACTAATAGATAAAGAGTGACAGATCATAAACGAGATTCTGAATAAAAGATGTAGATATAACGTGATTATCCTTTGCAGTTCGAGGAGCATCTTCAAAGGTGCTTGCAATGGTCTTCCTGGTATCGTTGCTTAGATATTTAGAAAATTCCTCTTTCACGCAGTACTTCTCCCTCAGTTTTGTTTAAGTCAGGTGTTTAGAATAAAATCTTCAATTATTTTGGTGAGAGTTGCAACTATTAAGAGTGACAGAGGACGTCTTCTGCAGCTTGGACAACTCCAGGAATTGGTTCCGAATTTTTAGGAATTTGATAAAGAGGGGAGTGATAGATCAGAAGTGATATTCTGAATAAAAGACGTAGATCTAACGTGATTATCTTTTGCAGTTCGAAGAGCATTTTCAACGGTGTCTGCAGTAGCCTCCCGGCCAGTTTCAACGGAGTTGGTTATTTTAAATAAAATCGTCAATTATTTCTATGGAGTTGTGACTGTCAAGATTGTTGGCGGACGTCTTCTGCAGATTGGACAATTCCAGGAATTGGTTCCGTATTTTTAGAAATTTCAAAAAGAAGGAAGTGACAGATCAGAAGCGAGATTCTGAACAAATGACGTAGCCCTAACGTGATCGTGTTTTGCAATTCGAGGAGCATCTTTGGCGGTGTTGTCTTCAGTGGTTTTCCGGATGTCGTGCTTCGACATTTCAGAAATTCGTTCCTCCTTCACTCAGCTCTTCTCCATCGGTTTCGGCGAAATTGGGCGATTTAAATAATCTCCCTAAGTTTCGTCTAAATCGGTGTTTACAACAAAACCTTCAATTATTTCTAGGGAGTTGCGACTGTCAAGATTGTCGGTGGACGTCTTCTGCAGCTTGGACAATTCCAGGAATTGGTTCCGTATTTTTAGAAATTTCAAAAAGAAGGAAGTGACAGATCAGAAGCGAGATTCTGAACAAATGACGTAGCTCTGACGTGATCATTTTTTGCAGTTCAAGGAGCATTTTCAGTGTCTCCAGTGGTCTTCCGGGTATCATGCTTCGATATTTTAAAAATTCTTTCCTTTGAGTTGGTCATTTTAAATAAAATCGTGAATTATTTCTATGGGATTTGCGACTGTCAAGATTGTTGACAGACGTCTTCTGCAGCTTGGACAATTGCAGGAATTGGTTCCGAATTTTTGTGAATTTCGAAAAGAAGGAAGTGACAGATCAGAAGTAAGATCCCGAACAAAAGACGCGGATCTAACGCGATTATTTCTTGCAGTTCGAGGAGCATCTCGAACGGTGTCTGCAGTGGCCTTCCGGATGTCGTGCTTCGTAATTTCCGCTCGAAACTGCCGATATTTCTCGTGGAATCTCTCGGAAAGATGGCGGTAATCGTAAATCACGGGAATTAAGATTAACAGCCTCGCTTCGTGTCCTCGATCCCAGACCATCCCCTGTCCATTCACCCTTCTCTTCCTCCCTCCGCGTCGAGACGCGGTGCGTTCGAGGTCGGAACGCTACGGAGGAATTCTCAACTTCTTTCCACGTCTCTCCGTGTAATACCGATCCTCCGTTCCTCTGTCCCTCTAATGGAAATTAACGTAGATCCTGCCGGCTGTTTCTTTTAATAAAGACCCTAGGTCTCCCCGATCCTGTTGCTCGGGCGCCCCTCGTCGCCCCGCGAAATGGGAAATTCGCGATGGAGATCGCGCCGATTTTCATTTCCACCACTTTGTCGACGTTTGCCAGAGCCGGATGTGTCGGTTCCGCGTCTTCGGCGAGAATCTCGGCACCACTTTCTCACCCTTATCGCTCTAATACGAACCCCCCTGCCATCTTCGTCTTCCATTGTCTCTCCATACTGAAATCTTTAATAAAAGTCCGTCCAGACATTTTCCCTTCCTCTCTCGTCATTCTCGCGCGATCGTCTAATAAAATCCGGCACGCCACCCACCCTGGATCTTGCTCTAACAAAGATCGACACGATTCCATCCCTGTCTGTTATTCTAAGAACCCAATCGACCCGTTCCGTCGAGAAAACGAAGCTTCCCGAGGTTCTTTCCGTTCTCCAAACATCCGCGACAACGGGGACCGGCTGCAAATCCATGAAGAACGTCGTCATCTAGAGGGAAATCGAATTAGCCGCGGGAATGCGGCCATTCGCGTGACGCGAGCGCCCTTAGCGGTGAGCGCGCCAACTAGCACCTCAAGATGGCCGCCGGGAGCGCGAAACATCCTCCGGACGCAGTAACAACGCGTCCAATCTATCCAGAAGGCAGTTTTTCCACTCGAATTTTCTCCTATTTCCATCTACAGTCCATCGTCTTCCTCGGGAAGCCTCCTTTCCTCTTTTATTTTCCTTTTATTTCCCAAAAACACGCTGCGTTTTCGTTTCAGGCTCCGCCCATTCTCTCGCGACGTCCTGATTCTCAACGACGCGGAACGTGATGCGGCAATTTCCCGAAACAGCCGCAACTGCCGAAGAATTCCCTCGTCAAATGGCCTGGGAATACCAGACTCCTGCGAGACGGTTCGTGTCTAATCGCGGGGACGCGACGAAAAGGGCCTCGCGGATGCAATTGTCGCGGTAATCGCGACGCGGTGACGAGGCAGTCGTTTTAAGAATATCGAATTACCCGGCAGGATGCGTCCTTTGTCCCGGGGAGCTTGAAGAAACAGCGACGACGAAACCGAGACCCAGTCAAAGGCACTCGCGTAATTCCTCCCCGACTGTTTCGCAGCTCTGGAGCGCGGCGAATGCGATCTTCGTCGTCGTTCTTAAGTCGCGTTACGCAGGTAAAACGCGTCAAGACAGTCTCTTAAGGGGATTACGGACGAATTCCTCGCGAGTGTGTCGGCCGGAAAGGGCGAATTACGAAAGAACAAGCGGAAAGAAGTGAAACGAAGACGCGAGGTATACTTCTGTCCGATCACTGGGCTCCAAAATGGCGGTAAGCGGTCCTCCGCGAGGCTAATTATTTTTCCCAGCTCGGTTTTCAGAGATTATAAGCGGAGGATATATTCCGGTGCCCCTGATTCCGTTCCGTTTTCGAGGAGGACAGAAGATCGGCGCGTTTTGCGCGTGCGACAAGGACAAATAGCTCCGACGCGGTGCTCGCGCTGCGGGAAAGAAAGCAGGACATTGTCTCTGCGCGATGAAAGAAAGCTTGCCGGTGGTTAACCGGCTCGAAAGCTGCTCTGGCATTTATCATCCGCGTTTTACTCCCCCTCCCCGATCGTTTCGCGACAACTTTCTCATTTGTATCCGACACGACCCGCGGCGCGTTTCTTTCCCCGACGTGCGCGTTTGTGCTCGCAAAGAAAATGGAGGAGAGCGACCGAGAAGACAGAGAAACTTGGAGATTGCGGGTCTCGGGGAAGCACGTTAAATCCGAAAGTAATTTGCCGAGCGATCGTTTCGAATTAAAAATGGCGTAGCCCCCCCGTAATTTAAAATTCAATCTTCCGTCGCGGTTGAAGATGCACGTCTGGTCCGAGATCGCCGCCATATCCGCGAGCTTCGAATCATTTTTCAGCAGACGCGTCCACGTAATTGCGCACCGTTCGATTGGCCGGGACACGAAGGGTAATTTAAACTTTCCGAAGGCAATCTTCTGGAGCGGATGGTACAGGGGTGGTTCGTCTAAAATCAGAAGAACGAGTCGCGGCGACGTTCGACAGCTGTTTCGTTACGAAGACACTGCGAGACGGTTAGGGGTTGGCCTGTCGATCCGAATCATCGTCCCGGGGGATGAAAGTGGTGCGGCAGGTGGCTGGAAAGACGCTTTGAGTAGGAACAAAGCCACTCGCGGGTTATTGGCCCGGGAACACGGTGCCCAACGGCTTGCAGGCCGGTCTATCGATTGCGGACACGCGCAGCCCTCTCCGGATCGGCCACGCGGAACACCCGCCGATGAATATTTCCTCTTCATTTTCCTCGCTTCACGCCACGGGCCTCGCGCCGTGTTTTCTTCTCTTCGCGCCCCGATGAGTCTTCGGACTCGTTGCGCCTCGTTCCTCGTTTGTTTATCGGATTTCGATCAACCCTACGCGGCCGTTCCGCGCCTCTGCCCAATCGCTTTGGCTCACACGCTCCCGCGTCCCGCCGAACGGTCACCGCGAATTTCCACCAATTTTCACCCGACCTTTTATTTCGTCGGCCACCTCCATTCCTCGCGAATCGTCCCGGTAATATTCCTCCGCGCGCCGATTCGTCGAAACCGCGGCCCTTTCTAGTCTTACAGAAAGACCAGAAAGCTCGAGGAAGCTTCGAGCTTTGGAAAAATACGAAATCCATGTAACGGAATCCGAAGACTTTTGATTTCTTCGAGTTTCGCTTTTTCGTTTTCGCGTCCCGGAGCTTCGAAACTCCCTCTTCCGGCGAGTTTTATAAGCTAAACTGCGTACAGAGGAATTAAGGTGAAATAATCCCGCGTGAGAGGGAAATTAAAATCCTGAGGATTCGTATAATTTTATCGAGCATGAAACAAGTATACAGTGGCTGATTAAAATTAAACGATCTCGCAACGCACAGTTTCTCATGATTAAATCATAGTGCAAGGGATTAAGTGTGTGGCGGCTATGGTACCGCTAGCACACCCCTGTTGGTGCATACGGGTAAATTATGCCGAGTACTTTCTTGTTCGTTCCTAGTTTCATTCCTGAAGCTTTTCCAAATTTTTCCCTCCAGCTTAACTACCCAATGGACGCCACGTTCCCCATCTCGATCATTTTGCATTATATCGCAGAGACGAAGATTTGCGAACATGGGCTGGACTTTATAAAAGGGTTTCGAAATATTACAAAATTAAAAGGAATTTATCTACCGGCGTATAAAAGGAAAAACATATTAAAACTTTCAAGAGATACGTAACCACTTGCGGTGGAAAGACGTGCCACGCACGTCGAGATGCTTCCGTTACCGGAACTCCAGCGACGTGTTACACACGTCGTCAGACGACTGTTGCAGAAAGAAAAATGACGTGTGTGGCACGTCAATTGTTAACGAAAAATATCACACTCTGCAAGATTATTAATAAATAAATTTAGTATTCATACATGTGTAATTTGATCATCAGTTGATGCGTCTTTATATTCTCCTCTGGAACCCCCCGAACGTTGCCTGAACGGGCCCCGAAGTGATTTGCACTCCACTGTTCTGACACGCGCAACCGTGAATTTCTTTGCACCGCAAGTGGTTAAAAATATTTGAAAATTATAGACAAATTTGTTGCGTCCCGAATACTGCAACTCTCACGTTCGAAGTTTCGCGGGGTTGTAAGGCCCCTTACCCGGATGCGACTATGTTGCAGGCATGCGGCCTGATGTAAATTAATTGAGTTAAACACGGTTAGGATTGAGCTAAAGAGTTCTGGTATGCTACTATGTTCTCTGGCACCGAATTGATAGTGATTAGTTTGTCTTGACTATTTTTAGATTTAAGATAGAACTCCTTGGTCTTGATCCTTTGTCCTGTCTTCTTTGGATTTTTCTTATCTCGGTGGTTTTATAAATTCGTGTGAGTTCTGATTGGTTAGTGTGAAATGTAAATGATGGGTGTGTGTCGTCCTATTGGTTGTGAATAATAATGGGGATGTGTATTATTTTCGACGTCTTTTGATGGTGGTGGATATTTAAACAAATTGGGCCCTTGTGCCCATCGTGTCAAGGATGATTTATTGACCTAAATGGTGACCGGGTGACAAAGAATGTTCATGAGTCAAGAGAATGGGTCCGTTGACAATAAGAAAATAAATCAGGCCCCACTTAACTTGGGACGTTCGGACCCAGGGATGTAACAAAGTTCATTTCCCCTTTCCTCGATTACATATTACAATATTTCCTGATAAATGATAAATAGAAGATCGTCACCTCTAATTTCACATAAATAACAAAAATATAAAAATTGGCTCCCAACCCTTTACCCAATTCGACTGCTACCCTCGTATCCATCGAACTTTGTCGCGCAACAAGAGCGGATTTTAATTTCGTTTAAGTGGCTCGAATTTCGATTATTGGGTTTGTTGGAAGACGGATATCGGGGAAGATCTTTTATTAACCAAGGAAATTGAAATCGTCGGACAGGGAGTAGAGAGGCGCTGGAGAAGGGTCGGCAAAGACGCGGCGCGTCCTGGGGATCAATTATTAAGCGATTAATTATTAAGAAGGAAAGTTTCGGGAAGCAACTCACCCACAGTTCGTGCAGCTTCTGTCGTTGCTTCTCCTCGTTCGCGTACTCCGTCAGCAAGTAGGATTGCAGATTCTTCAGCACTGTTTCTTGCCTCTTGTCCAACTTCTTCGGCACCTTCCGCGACTCTGGGTATTCGCTGCTCTCCAGGATCTCTTCCTCCCCCTCTGATCTCTCGGGGTAGGATCGATCCTCCGGCTTCGGCGACTGCGAAGAGAACGATGCAGGATTCGCAAGATTTCTTATACCGCGAGTGCGGTAAGCCTGTACCCGGTTCAACGAGAATTGGCAGGAAATGTAAATAGTTGCACGCGTGGTCAAACCAGGACCCAAATATCAGACCTGGGACAGAGCTGACCTAGGTACAAGATCGAATGTTTCGTGAAAAATTTTGGATGGCTTTGTGTGTGTGAGGAAATCATCGATGAACGGATCTTGGTGAACGTTGACAAAGAAATCGCGATGACTCTGTACTCGTGACAATTCCAGTACTCATACTAACTCCGGTACTCGCGATAACCCCAGTACTCGCGATAACCCCAGTACTCGCAATAATTCCAGTATTCGCGATGATTCCAGTATTCACGATAACCCCAGTACTCGCAATAATTCCAGTATTCGCGATGATTCCAGTACTCGCGATAACCACAGTACTCGCGATAACCCCAGTACTCGCAATAATTCCAGTATTCGCGATAATTCCAGTACTCATGATAACTCTAGTACTCGCGATAACCCCAGTACACGCAATAATTCCAGTACTCGCGATAACCCCAGTACTCGCGATAACTCTAGTATTCACGATAACTCCAGTACTCGCGTTAACCGAAATACTCGCAATAATTCCAGTATTCGCGATAACTCTGTACTCGCGATAACTCTGTACTCGCGATAACTCCAGTACTCGCGTTAACCCAAATACTCGCAATAATTCCAGTACTCGCGATAACTCTGTACTCGCGATAACTCTAGTACTCACGATAACTCCAGTACTCGCGATAACTCTGTACTAATGAAAGCTTTCGATCTTTATGGAACGATCGAGAGCGAAAAGCACCGAAAGGGAGAAGTCTCCACGCGTGAGGAGTCATCAATGAGGAGTTAGTGAGAGATTTTCGAGTGATGGTTACTGAGAGTCCTTCGAGTGAAATAAACTCTTCCAACACAAGACGTTTATGAGTTTCTAACCCATATTCTTTATTACATAATCCCTTACATAGACAAGGGTTCCCGTTTAGGACTAGTAGAAGTCAACACTGATCATTTACGTTTATGCCAATTCTGTTGAATAGAGTACAGGACCCTTTAGTCAAGTTAAACGATGTTGGAACATTTAAGCTTGATTCTCAATTAGCGATGCGCTCAGTTCCAAGTAAAGCCACATCAAACTTCCTTAATTGCTATATTTTTTAATTATACCTGAATCAGGTACGATTTTTGAAAACCCCTGGCACTAAAATGGACGGTGACAGAGCAAGGTATATTTTAAAGCAAAATATTTGTCCCCAATAATTTTAAATCTCGAGATACTAAACAAGAATATCCTTTGGACCCTCATGCTTTAGGGCTGTTTTCACCGCTATAATTTGAACAGGTGTTCCAATATTTTTTCGCGAATTATTTCTCACATAAATTTCATCAAATTTGACGTGTACTGATTGTATAATATATACTTCATTATAGTTAGAGGAGTCGTGGCAGTGTAGGCAGTGCCCAAACCTCCTAGTACCCATGGGGCCCAGAGGAGTTGTTGATTTTATTTTAAATACGACAAAGGATATGGCAATTCGTCGTGTCTCCTGGATGGTTAATTAATTAATACTCCAGACTTGGAAATTCTAAAAGTTGCTAAAGATTATTTGGTGCATCCAATGAAGGGACTATAGCCCTTGGAAGTATGCTAGTATGGGGCCCAGAGGGGTTGTTGATTTTATTTTAAATACGACAAAGGATATGGCAATTCGTTGTGTCTCCTGGATGGTTAATTAATTAATACTCCAGACTTGGAAATTCTAAAAGTTGTTAAAGATTTTTTGGTGCACCCAATGAAGGGACTATAGTCCTTGGAAGTATGCTAGTTTTTCTTTAAGAGCATCGGTATAGGTTGGAGTCACCTAAACCAGTTAACAGCGTTATAGTCAATCCAAAGCTCTATTGCAATGTAGTTGTGACGTATATACTCGTCGTATAAGATAGAAAACTAATATTTACACTAAAAACTCGAAATTTCAACGAGGTGTAATAAAAATATCACTCGGTGACATGTTTCCTTTGTATTTCCAATAAAGCTGTTATTTTATTCAAAAAATTGGATTATTCTCTTTGGTGTATCGGGTTAGGTTAGGTATATTGGATTACTTAAATGTAATACTTTCTACAAACTCGATTATTTTCTCCAATACATTCATTCTCCGGGCTGTTTTGTGTACTTCGACGCGTATCGAAAATTATCACACCGAAATCAACTGAATTTCGTATAAATACTTTCTTCGTGAAATTTATTTTTTCACGGCTTTCAAGTTTTTAATAACAATAACCTTCCAACGATGAACGCTTAATTTTTTTGCCGAATAAAAATGTAATCCCTTCTGCCTTTTTGCTTCGTATTTTTCGTAAAATTCATAATAGCAGCGTTCCTCTGCGTTCGACGTTTAATTCCGCATCTAGCGAGGGATTTTTAAAACTCCGCTGTTAATCGGTTAAAGGAAAACGTTCAAATTTACCCTCATTTGTACGGAAAAGTGATATAAAATATTTGTACTTTGCTTAACGAGAACGTGTCAACATCTGTCTTCATTTGTCGACTGCGAATGTCGATATTCCTTTCTCGTGTCGATATTCCTGCCTCTTTGAACCAGCTATAGATATTCCTTACGCGGGAAATAAAGTATTAATGCATTGTACGCTGCTCGAATTTTATCCGCTATAGGGGATCAATTTTTAAAAGGAAGTGTACTGAAAATTTGTTGTATCTTCGGAAAATAGGATGGTATACAGGGTGGAACATTTAACGCGATCACTTTGGTAATTTTCGATCTTAGCAGGTTGCTCTTTCCTGTCTTAGTAACGCAAATTTGGTTAACACTAAACCTACCATAACCCGAACCACCGTTTTTAAAACTTTGATTAAAAATTAATAAAAGAGATTCAGATTAAATTAAATTAAATTTTGATTCGATTAAAAAGGTATTCGTGTTATTTCTCACTTAATATACGTGTGATTATTTTTGCAATGCCTCTCGATATTCCATTTTGTGACACTGGGATTAGCAAGGGTGTCAAAATAAATTCTTCGGGATTTATTACTTTTGGAATTATTGGAGATATGCTGGTACTCTTCGAAAAATTAATATCGAGATCATTATTATTTATGTTTATTTATATCGTTTATATATATCATAGTTACGTAGATATTACAGGTCGGTGGTTCTAGTATTAACCCTTTGCACTCGTATTTATATTTGAGAAGGCTTCCAATCAATTCGAAATTTTTCATATTGAAATTTCATATTGAAATGATAACATTTTCATTTGAAGATATTACAATTTAATTTGTCGGTTTTGGTAGAAAAAAATTAGAAAAATACACGAATTTAACCCTTCGCACTCGAGAGGCGACTCTCAGTCACCGTTTAATCAAATTCTAGAGATCATTGTTAATTAATATCTCGAATTTAAAATTGTCCAACGACACATGGAATATCGAGGTAAAATAATTCTGTGTTTTACAATTAATTTGCACTGCTTAGTTACCGTTTTGAAAATATCGTCGACTTCGTGGCAGGAAGTCTTTGAATTACTATGTTTCCGTAACGAAAAGATCATCCAGTGCAAAGGGTTAATATATGTATAATAATAAAATATAGGATGACGACTATATGGCGACACACGAGTGCAAAGATTCTAATTCATTTCCATTCATTGTCACTTGACCTCAGTATTTTTATATTTATTATCTTTCGTTATTTATAAGGAAACAATTTTTCATCGTTCCATCGATAAATAAACGATCGTGGAAAGTCGAGATGATCACGTTACACGATCCACCCTGTATACACGTGTCAAGAGAAAGTACTATATTTTCATTAAATGCCAAAATTAAAAGAAATGGTAACAAGCGTTTCTAAGCATAGCAACAGCCATAGCAACATCACGAGGCCAGCATACAATGTACATATGCTCTTTTCCTGCTTTTTCCTAGCTTTTCCAGTCATGAAACACGACTTGTTTTACAACGTGTTAATACGATGTAAAAATACGAGGAAAAATGAAAAAATATCCGACCAAAAATTCTCGCCCTCCAAAATGAATCTAAATAAATTTACTTTAATCGTGCAGTATGAACAGTCACTATACCCCGAAAAAACATATAAGAGGAAGCGTAAAATGGACTTTTTTAATAATTTTAAATCAGCTTTTGGCAGTATCGAGAAGGCTAATATAGAAAATCTCGTAAACAGTATGCTGCTACAAAATATGCTGCAGTAATACTAAATACTAATTAGCAGTTATGCATACTGTCCATTTATTTTTTGTTCCATAATTTGTTCATTTTTTGTTCGAACCTAATTCGGGTTTGCACCGAGTGATAATATTTATTTTAAATGTTATTCAAATAACAATTTTATTATTCAGACATTTTATCGTAATTGGAGGGTCACATACATGTACTTACGTATGACAGCACTGCGCCATTTTTCTTTTTTTAATTGTACACGAATTTTAGTTACACTGTAGGAATCTCATATATGTGTGTGATATCTAGTGCTTGATTTCTTTTTTTTAATTATTTGGTAACTTTGCTATAATTTAAGGGTCTGACATATGACACGTACACGTACTGACATATGACAGCACTGGGCCATTTTTCTTTTTTTAATTGTACACGAATCTTAGTTACACTTCAGGATTTCATACACGCGTGTGTCATCTAGTGCATGATTTTTTTTTTTTAATTATTTCGTAATTCTGTTATAATTTAAGGACTCCATACATGTATTGACATATGGCAGCACTGCGCCATTTTTCTTTTTTTAATTGTACACGAATCTTAGTTACACTTCAGGATTTCATACACGCGTGTGACATCTAGTGCTTGATTTTTTTTTTTTTTAATTATGTGGTAATTCTGTTATAATTTAAGGACCCCATACATGTATTGACATATGGCAGCACTGCGCCATTTTTTTTTTTTTTTAATTGTACACGAATCTTAGTTACACCTCAGGACTTCATACATGTGTGTGACATCTAGTGCTCGATTTTTTCTTTTTAATTATTTGGTAATTTTGCTACAATTTAAGGGTCCGATACACGTACTGACATATGGCAGCACTGCGCCATTTTTCTTTTTTTAATTGTACACGAATCTTAGTTACACTTCAGGATTTCATACACGCGTGTGACATCTAGTGCTTGATTTTTTTTTTTTTTAATTATGTGGTAATTCTGTTATAATTTAAGGACTCCATACATGTATTGACATATGGCAGCACTGCGCCATTTTTTTTTTTTTTTTAATTGTACACGAATTTTAGTTACACCGTAAGGATCTCATACATGTCTGTGACATCTAGTGCTCGATTTATTTTTTTTTTTATTTAATTAGTTTGTAATTTTGCTATAATTTAAGGTTCCCATACACGTAATGACATATGACAGCACTGCGCCATTTTTCTATTTTTAATTGGAAGTACACGAATCTCAAGCTATACCTTAGGGATCTCATACACGTGTGTGACATACTGCACGATTTTTTTTCATCATCCCTTTGTAATTCTCCCTTGTCCCTGACTGTAATTCCCCATTACCTACCTCGAAATTATCCAAAGGAAGGCGCGAATTTCAAAAGAGATAGGAGCAATATCAAACTTCTTCTTCTAAGCTTCTAATTATAGTAAGACAATTTTGGAATTAGTACTCCGAGTAACATTTTCCAACTTTCTCGGAAGCGTCCCGGAGTTTAAATATACTCGAGCACAATAAGAGAACCGAAGAGTTCCTCTCAGCGAAGAATCCTAAAAACCAGACGTTACTTTCTCCCATTCATAAGCTGCTTCAAAGGACGTCTTTGAAAATGGAAAGACTCGTTAATATCTCTCGCTCTGATCCCGTCTAAATCCACCCCTGGCGATGTTTAATTCCTTAAAAATCCGCAGCGGGTGAGTTTCCCTCGGAATGAGCCTCGACTCGAGCGTAATTCGTCACCGGGGTCGATGGAGGATTCTAGGGTCAATTTATTGCCTCGACTGGTCCAGGGACCAGAGGGATCCGTGGCTAAGACCGGGGAATGATGATCGATGGGGTTGTTGTTCGAGTCGACTCTCACCCCGTTCGATCCCACGTTCCTCCTCCGGATCGCGTCGGTTTCCTCGTTCAGACGATTCGCAGGATCCTCTGGAGGTAGGAGGCTCTTGGGCACCTGCGTCTCGTTGTTCCCGATCAGGATCTCCTTCTGGGTGCTCAGCTCCTTCTTCACCGTCGGCACTCGCTTCGTTTTCGTCCGGCCACCCTCGTCGTAGGTCGAGGCGCTTTGCTTTTTGTACTTCAGCAACTCGGCCACCTGTGATCAACGTGCTTTCGTCATTTTAGGTTCTGGGTGACACGTTGACTGCCACGGAGGCTACCATTGATCTATGATTGCCTCTTCAGTGAAGCAATATAGCCAACGGTAACCATTTTTCCATTTAAATGGAGGATATTGGGAAGTGAAAAGTTTGCTATTTAGCAATTAACAATTGCGTGGCAATCAACGTGTTAATATTAATTATTTGTCTCAAGCTATACCTTAGGGATCTCATACACGTGTGTGACATACTGCACGATTTTTTTTCATCATCCCTTTGTAATTCTCCCTTGTCCCTGACTGTAATTCCCCATTACCTACCTCGAAATTATCCAAAGGAAGGCGCGAATTTCAAAAGAGATAGGAGCAATATCAAACTTCTTCTTCTAAGCTTCTAATTATAGTAAGACAATTTTGGAATTAGTACTCCGAGTAACATTTTCCAACTTTCTCGGAAGCGTCCCGGAGTTTAAATATACTCGAGCACAATAAGAGAACCGAAGAGTTCCTCTCAGCGAAGAATCCTAAAAACCAGACGTTACTTTCTCCCATTCATAAGCTGCTTCAAAGGACGTCTTTGAAAATGGAAAGACTCGTTAATATCTCTCGCTCTGATCCCGTCTAAATCCACCCCTGGCGATGTTTAATTCCTTAAAAATCCGCAGCGGGTGAGTTTCCCTCGGAATGAGCCTCGACTCGAGCGTAATTCGTCACCGGGGTCGATGGAGGATTCTAGGGTCAATTTATTGCCTCGACTGGTCCAGGGACCAGAGGGATCCGTGGCTAAGACCGGGGAATGATGATCGATGGGGTTGTTGTTCGAGTCGACTCTCACCCCGTTCGATCCCACGTTCCTCCTCCGGATCGCGTCGGTTTCCTCGTTCAGACGATTCGCAGGATCCTCTGGAGGTAGGAGGCTCTTGGGCACCTGCGTCTCGTTGTTCCCGATCAGGATCTCCTTCTGGGTGCTCAGCTCCTTCTTCACCGTCGGCACTCGCTTCGTTTTCGTCCGGCCACCCTCGTCGTAGGTCGAGGCGCTTTGCTTTTTGTACTTCAGCAACTCGGCCACCTGTGATCAACGTGCTTTCGTCATTTTAGGTTCTGGGTGACACGTTGACTGCCACGGAGGCTACCATTGATCTATGATTGCCTCTTCACTGGAGCAATATAGCCAACGGTAACCATTTTTCCATTTAAATGGAGGATATTGGGAAGTGAAAAGTTTGCTATTTAGCAATTAACAATTGCGTGGCAATCAACGTGTTAATATTAATTATTTGTTTATTATTATACTCAATGGATGCTTCGGTATATTACATTGTGGAAAACACAATGATACCAATCTATATAAAATTAATATAATTTCTTGCATATGAAATGGTGCAGTGTATTTTTTAATTTTAGCAACTCGGTCACGTGTGATCATTGTATTTTCATTTCGAGTTCTAGATGACACGCTGACTGCCACGGAGGCTACCATTGATCTATGATTGCCTCTTCACTGGAGCAATATAGCCAACGGTAACCGTTTTTCCATTTAAATGGAGGATATTGGAAAGTGAAAAGTTTGCTATTTAGCAATTAACAATTGCGTGGCAATCAACGTGTTAATATTAATTATTTGTTTATTATTATACTCAATGGATGCTTCGGTATATTACATTGTGGAAAACACAATGATACCAATTTATATAAAATTAGCGTAATTTCTATTAATTCTAATAATTTTGAATTTTAGTAACTCGGTCATGTGTGATTATCGTATTTTCATTTCGAGTTCTAGATGATACATTGACTGTCACGGAGGGTACCATTGATCCATGATTGCCTCCTTCAGTAAGGCAATATAGTCAATGGTAACTATTTTTCCATTTAAATGAAGGATATTGGGAAGTGGAAAGTGTGCTATTTAGCAATTAACAATTGCATAGCAATCAACGTGTTAATATTAATTATTTGTTATAAAATTAGTGTAATTTCTTGCATGTGAAATGGTGCAGTGTATTTCTGAATTTTAATAACTCGGTCACGTGCAATCATCGAATTTTCATTTCGAGTTCTAGATGGCACGTTGACTGCCACGATGGTGCTCGGAAATTCATTTTTTGGAAATTCAGAATATTCAAATACAGAATATTTATTTGAGAAGTGCGCTATTTTTCCACCCTAATGTTTGATAATTCATTATATCCTAATAATAATAGAAATTTTATTACGGCCCTTATTGTGCCGCCATATAAAAGGTGCGTGGCAGTCGACGTATTAATATTAATTATTTATTTATTATTATACGCGATGAATGCCTTGAGATACTACCCTCGACAAAATTTTTTAATTGGAGGCTTCATTTTCAAGGAAACCTTGAAAATCTTTGAATATTCGCCGAATTTGTGTATATACTCTATATATATACTCTGCATATATACGCTAAGGACCAAAGATAACGTAGGAAGGACTAGAGAAGGAATATTATACAAAGGGCAAGGGCGACTGAGGTCTGACATTAAGGGATGACTGTATACCTGTTGTTGAGGACGCGCTGGCATTTACGAAAGATTAGACGCGAATCAGAGTGCATATCTGACAGTACACTGACAGTGAAACGAAGATAGGAAAGTAAGGAAAGCAACAGAGAGAGAGAGAGACATAGAAAGAATTATTAGGGTACCCTAGAATTTTCTTTCCTTTCTTTCATCGAAGCTGTGATATAGAAAATCAAACACAAAACCTAGAGATGTTCCATTGCAATATTCGAGTAAGTCCGATGATTCTAATGATTGTGATATGTCCACAGACTCGTATAGTTGCAACGAATTATAGTCAAATATTCATAAAGTTCCATTAGCTACTCAATATTCAGAAATAAGCAAATGAAGCCGGCGCTTAGGCTTCAAATGCCTAATATATAATTTAGATGGAAATAGATATAAAATGCACAGTACCATATACAACCATAACCCATAGATTTTCTTCACGACATCGTATACAAAAATTCTCAAATGATTATTCTGTTCCTCACCCGTTGGTAGGAAACGTAGATGTAGAAAATCAAATAGAAAATCTAGAGGTGTTCCATTGCAATATTCGAGTAAGTCCGATGATTCTAATGATTGTGATATGTCCACAGACTCGTATAGTTGCAACGAATTATAGTCAAATGTTGATAAAGTTTGCAATATTCGAGTACGTCCAATGATTCCAATGATTGTGATATGTCCACAGACTCGTATAGTTGCAACGAATTGTAGTCAAATGTTGATAAAATTCCATTAGCTACTCAATATTCAGAAATAAGCAAATGAAGCCTTCAAATGGCTAATAATTTAAATGGAAATACATATAAAATGCACAGTGCCATATAGAACCATAACCCATAGATTTTCTTCACGACATCGCATACAAAAATTCTCAAATGACCATTCTGTTCCTCATCCATCGGTAGTAAACGTATTCTCGTTAATTTCTCCAACGAAAAGACGTAGATCCTCGAGAAAGGAGACTTAAATTTAAAGAAGACTGTGGAAAGTGAAAAGAAATGGCGGAGATTATTATTCCTTGATCGAAAAAGTATATTCCGATGAAGTCAAAGCCGAGATTTCTTCCTTCCTTACAGGAGAATTACACCCGTGATTTCGTTTATGGGAATTTTGTTAATTCGGAGAATCAAGGTGATTCCTTGAGGAAGATGGGGGGCAGCTGCGAGGGAGGCGGCAGAGTCTGAGAAGCTAGTAGTATAGCATAACTATCGGCTGACACGCGAGAGAGCTGGGAAAGCGGTCGCTATAATTCGGGAGCCTTCGAGATTGCAAAAACAAATTTACAAGGTAATGTTTCGACGTAAATTCTGGACCGGGCGCAAAATTGCTTCGGTTCGGGTCGGGGCAAAAATATATTCGACGCAAGTAGCATGGAAGAAGGGGTAGGACCGTGCACGGGGCGGAAGGGTGAAATACGATTCGCTCGTGACCGGGTTCGCGGGAGGTCCCATTTCGGTGGCAGACGAATGCCTCGCGAGTGAAACGTGCAATTCGAAAATCAAAGGAACAACGAGATTGTCCAATTATGGCCATTTTCTCGTGGTTTCATCGATAATAGATTTTCTTTTAACAACGAATCTGCTGGTATCATGAAATTTTTAAGAAGAGGCAACGATTCGAGGTAAAAATAATACTTGACGAAAATTAGTGTCTCGTTTGTAGATAGGAAAAATATACGTAGATATTAATTATTATTTTTAAAAATTTAAGAAGTGGAATTTAACGAAAATTAGTGTTTTATTTGTAGATAGAAAAACTATACGTGAATATTAATTATAATTTCAAGAAATTTAAAAATTGGAATTTAAGAAAAATTAGTGTTTCGTTTATAGATAAACAAAGTATACGAAAATATTAATTATTATTTCAAAAAATTAAAAGATTGGAATTTAATGAAAATTAGTGTCCCATTTGTAGATAGGAAAAGTATACGTACATATTAATTATTATTTCAAGAAATTTAAAAATTGGAATTTAACGAAAATTAGTGTCTCATTTGTAGATCAAAAAGGTATACGAAAATATTAATTATTATTTAAAAAAATTAAAAAATTGGGATTTAAGGAAAATTAGTGTCTCATTTGTAGATTAAAAAGGTATACGAAAATATTAATTATTATTTCAAGAATTTAAAAAATTGGGATTTAATGAAAATTAGTGTCTCATTTGTAGATAGGAAAAGTATACGTACATATTAATTATTATTTCAAAAAATTAAAAAATTGGGATGTAATGAATATTAGTGTCTCATTTGTAGATAGGAAAAGTATACGTACATATTAATTATTATTTCAAAAAATTAAAAAATTGGGATGTAATGAATATTAGTGTCTCATTTGTAGATAGGAAAAGTATACGTACATATTAATTATTATTTCAAAAAATTAAAAGATTGGGATTTAATGAAAATTAGTGTCCCATTTGTAGATAGGAAAAGTATACGTACATATTAATTATTATTTCAAAAAATTTAAAAATTGGGATGTAATGAAAATTAGTGTCTCATTTGTAGATAAGAAAAGTATACGTAAATATTAATTAGTATTTCAAGAAATTAAAAAATTGGAATTCAGTATTATAAAGAAGCAATACCTTATGATCAATGGTATTTTGTTTCTGGTAGAAGAATTAAAATATTAATTGCTATTTTAACAAATATGACAATAGAAGCTTATCACGATTTTATGCCAAAACGTATCATAGTTTCCTTACAAAAAAAAATCCCAATCTTTTTCCATTAGCCGGAACACAAAAGTACTCCCCTTAACCCTCTGCACTCCGAACTATTTTTCAACTTTGTTCGTAATAACTCCCTACAATTTCAAGGATTTCGTTTGAAATTTACTTCACAGAACAGTTCCTCGACTGCTACCTATGTTAAAAAATGTTATTTACTGACTGTATTAAATACAGCTCTCAAACATTGCTGTAATTCCTATTTTGAATTTAAGTAATTCGAGTAGTTACTTATTTCCTGTTTTCTCGTTCAGTAAGTAAAGAATCGAGAAACGTCGAGTGTAACTCGACATAGAAATTCCTGTGATAGAAATTAATATCGAGTCACACATGTCAAAAGAATACAAAATTTTAAGGCTATGATACCACACAAGTAATCACGAGAAATACACTGTTAAATAAATGTTAACCCTTTGCACACGAGAGGTGACTCTCAGTCACCATTTAATCAAATTCCAAAGATCGACGTTAATTAATATATGAAATTTAAAATTACCTAACAATGTGTGGAATGTCGAAGAAAAATAATTCTACGTCTTAATTTGCATATGATTTCTCATTTACCATTTTAAAAATATCGTCGACTCTGAAAGTCTTCGAATTACTATTTTTCTGTAACGAAAAAGTCGTCGAGTGCAAAGGGTCAACATCGAAAATGTATTATGTCCTTTTACTCGAAGAGTAAAAGGACATAACTTTCCGTTAGACCCGATAGAAGGGAAATAAGGAAGAAGGCGATAAAAGCGTGGTCCTCGTCGTCGTGGAAAGAAATCGCGCGAAGCTGTTGGAGGAGCCGAAGACAGATAGCGTGACCCCTTTAAAATTTCAAGCTGCCTCTTAAGACGCTACAAATGGCTTTCCAATCTCGAAACAGCTCGGACCTCTGTCGATGCAAAGTACTTTCCGATAGCC